CCGGTGCTGAAGTACTGGCATTTAATAACTGAACAATATCAACCGGAAAGAGAAAATAGGAAAAAACGGACTAGGCAGAGGTGGTGGAGTTGGTGTGACCTGCTGCACTGGATTCGACGGTGGTGCTTCTCTTTCTTTCGTGGTTTCTTTCACCTCTTCACGCTTAAAGCAAAACGTGTATTACAAACTACAAGTAAACTACACAAACTAAACGGAACTAAGAAATTCCAGATATCGACTAAGAAATTAACAAAATCGAAGAAGTAAGATGAGTGTTTTATTAGTTAACGCGCTATTCAGATTTCTACTCATTATTCTCTATGAATTTCATTACTGCCATTTAGTAATAAATATAACTAACCTTCGGAATTTTAAAATTCTTCAAGCTGCCGACGAAACCAAATGGCAGCGGTGCAGTAGGGGTAGTTTTTGATGAAGAACTGCCTGCGGCGGGACCACCAGTTGCGTTGGCATCGAAAGATGAAGATGCACTCATCGTCTGAAGAACTATTTTGTATTGGAAGCAGTTCAGGAAGTGATTTCTTGACAAAAAAAAACGACTTTATCACATGACACCACCAATTCCCTACTATTCCCATTATTAAGAACTCTACAGTCGACTCAAACTTCTTTCCTTTTCACAAGTTTCCGTAGCCTTTCTGTTTGGTTAGCTGTGCTGTCAAACCCATTTTGATTTAGGAGGGAGGGAATCACTTGGGAAGCTAAAAATCATCAGAAGCTATCCACATTTCCACTTGGTAAGCAACAAAACAACCCGATACCGTTGAACTGACCTAGATATACCTCATACATCTAATTCTATTTAAAAGAATTCCCTAGATTATGCTATCATTAATCAAGGCCGCCAATCTTGAACGAGCTTTTTAAGCCTCCTATTCATAGAATGAGCAAATCCTTTGCTAGTGCTTTCTACAAAAGCGAGAGAAAAGTGACATTCTGTGACAAACGCAATCACTTTCACTTTGGCTGCATAGACTCACTTTGTGCCTCTTATGCTCGCGGTCCTTCTCCTTTCCTTCAGCCTTTCTCTTCTGACGCCGAGACTCGTCCGACTTGTCTTTGGACCTCTCCTGAGAAAAAAAAACAATATTGTTCAAATATCATTCTCAAGAAATCTATTGCTTTTGCTCCATGTTAACAGTTTCGCTCTCGTTCCACCTAAGCCACAAAAAGTAGCCATATTGCTAAGCTAGTTACATATGTCTAAAAGCAAAACCTTGTGCCCTTCTTTTTTCTCCTTATCTCGTTTCTTTTCTTGCTTCTCGAGCTTTGGCATCGACTGCATAGGAATCGACTTGGTCTTCTGTGCGTCGACTGACGGAGATGCTCTTGATGGGACTTTTGGAATCTGGAAAAAAGATCGGGGTGTACATAACAGAGGAAAAAAGAGAAACGATCAATCTACAATGCAAATAACAGAAA